GAATAAAGGGAGGAGGGAGGGAGAGGAAGAGGAAGAGAGAGAGGGAGGGAGAGGGAGAGAGAGAGAGGGAGAGAGAGAGAGAGAGAGAGAGAGAGAGAGAGGGAGGGAGGGAGGAGAAAAAAGAAAGAGAGAAATGAAACCAATTACATATAACATGCTTGTAGATTATCTACATGTAACTGCACGTTGAACATGTAAATGTACATTATTTACATTCACATGTACAAAAAGGACACACTCTTACTTCATGTTGAGGTGTTGCCATAGTAACAGGAGGAGATGGAGAGGACCGAGACTGAAAGAGAATAGAAGCGAAACACAAAAATAAAAAAAATAACAAAATGAGAATAATAGGAATAGTGAAAACAATGCGATGCGTGGACTCACCAGGCAAGCAAGTATTAGTAATAGTGTGCTCCTTTTCTCTCGCTCTCTCCCTTCGCCTCCTCCTCTTTCTCTCTCTTTCTCTTTTCTAGAAAACTTCAACTGCCAGCGAATTCTGCTTCTCCTGCTGCCCTGGGTTTTCTAATTAAAAGGACATTAGAAAAGAAATGTTAGAATCAGTTAACCACACCCATTAATGAATAATAGATTATATGACGCCTAATTAAGCTTTGTAGAAAAAATTAATATTGTGTCTAGAAGAAAGTTTTGGTATTTTTTATAATTTTTCTTATTGCATATTCTTAATACATAGATCTACCATAAATAAATTACATTGGCCCAAGACTATGCATTATAGCACTCTTGATTATCGCCACTATGAAAAATTTCATAGGTGCAATTTTGACCTAGAATAATTTTGGCACTAATTGCTATTTGAAACTAAATTTTATCAGTTAATAATAGTTTTATGTTGCTTGCTAAGTTTTTAGATACAGTTTTTCAAGCTGCTAACATATAGTCTAAATTAGACAAAATTGAAAATGAATTATCATAGTCAAGTGTTATCAAAACAATGTAGGCACAAACACACAACCACAATTTGCTGCATAGATAGTCATCTTTTAAGATGGTTTTAGTCTTGTCTTTTGTCTTCTTGTTAAGTGTCAGTGAAGTTATTAGTCAATGTCCACCTTCCTCAGGTAAGACACTGGATGTGTATAATAACAACTGTATAGGTTTTTATAGGTATCTACCTTTTGCGTGATGGAATCTGTTATACTAATGGATCATATTTTTGGGATAATAGTGTCAATGCACTTAATGAGAATATATCATGTGTGTTACCTGGTACTAGTCTAACTACTGGTCAGTGGGTTAGAGTTGCTGATCCTGATGATGATCCTGTTGACTGTAACAGTAATAGTGCCAGTGATCCTTTTCGTTGTACTTCTGTCACTTCACCTGATGCTACTATCAGTCTTTATCTTGCTCAGGGACTATCAGCATCTCAAGAAGGCTGGTACAAGTGTTGTCTACCCACTGATTGTTCAACCTCTGGTACTAACATCATCTTTGCTAATATATTCAGTAAGAGGAGACTATAATCACTTACTGATGTAATAATTTTCATTTGTAGGATATTCAGAGATAGAATCATTTATTGTTGCTAATCTTCCTTCTGATATGACAGTATATCCTCAGGAATACAAACTGAATTGTACTAAAATTGGACACTTTGATTATGGTATTAGTATGAGCATTGGTAGTACTGCACTGGCTAGTTACACTAGTTGTGATGATCAAACCAATACTTGTCCTGGTACTGTGTTAGTTAGTTTTAGCAACACATTAAGATATACTGTTAATATCATATGGGATGGAATGACTGTCAGTAGTGGATCAATCAGTCAAT